TGATGTAATGAAACCTAATGAGGATTCAGAATAATCTCCTTATGCTCTATGTGGGTCAACAGAATAAATGTTTATGTCATTTTAATTTCTGATCCATGGTTCACACAAGACCTTATAGAAATACAAAAACCAGGAGGGATTTTCTTTTAGGAAATTATTTTAGTCTCTTTTAGGTTCTATAAGAGACAGAAAACGAAAATAGCTAAAATAAGATTCAAGGGTAAGATGATTGCCGTCTACACTGAAAACAGCAAATTATTATTTTTAAAACAATATGATCCAACACATTTTTTTCCAGTTAATTTTTAAACCCACAAGAATTTTAAGGGAAATCAAATGCATATAGTTCTGACTCATTTACACCCGTGACTCTTCAATATGTTGTTTTAAACAAATCATTGAATGTCCAAGAAATCTTCTTGTTAAATGATGAGAGGTGCATCATTTAACAGCCAGAATCTTAACTTATACAAACTTGAGTTTAACCAGATATGTGGAACCTGCAGTGCCCAGCAAATCCTAAAGCGGTGGAGATAGGCTCTTGTGCAACCTTTAAACATGACTTGGGTTTATCCCAGAAAAACACAAACATGCCAGAGCTAATCAGGTCCCACTCAATTCAAGAATACGACAAAGCTCCAACATATCTATTTAAAAACCCCAATAGGCCGGGCGCGGTGGCTCAAGCCTGTAATCCCAGCACTTTGGGAGGCCGAGACGGGCGGATCACGAGGTCAGGAGATCGAGACCATCCTGGGTAACACAGTGAAACCCCGTCTCTACTAAAAATACAAAAACTTAGCCGGGCGAGGTGGCAGGCGCCTGTAGTCCCAGCTACTCAGGAGGCTGAGGCAGGAGAATGGCGTGAACCCGGGAGGCGGAGCTTGCAGTGAGCTGAGATCCGGCCACTGCACTCCAGCCTGGGTGACAGAGCGAGACTCCGTCTCAAAAAAAAAAAAAAAAAAAAAAAAAAAACCCCAATAAAATGAAATTTCAATTTCTACCAGTTCAGTTTCTTCACATCTAATGTTTTATTTTTGGCTTTCTGGCCTAGAGCTGATGGGAATTCTGCAGAGCTATCCATTTTCAGAAAGAAACAGTTTTAAAAAGTTTCTGTGACTGAGAAGACACAGCTAAGAATGGTAAGAGGTATTTCCAGGAGTTCTGCCTTTAGCAGACAGTAACCTGCCTCTGGTGTGCATGTGTGTATGTGACAAACGAATGGGAAAAATGAGAACCTTAGTTAAGTTGAGGCACAAAGAAGCCCGAGTTTCTCACAGCCAGACCAAACAGGAGGGCTAGAGGCCCTGGTTTTCAGGAGCAATTTGGCTTTGACATCACCATCCTATAAGCTATAAAAACATGTGGAAAAATAAACAAGCAAGACCAGAAAATTCACAGACAAACAAAAAGTTGAATTCCTCCAAAGAGAATGTTACAATACCATGAGGTGACAGGGGAAAAACATTCCTCAAGGGCATCAAGCTCCTAAGCACTTAATTCCTCAAGATTTTTGGTATAGACAAATCTCATGACTGGGGGGAACACAATGAGCCTGTTTCATGTCCACTTCAGTCTTTAGAATTAAGTAGTCATTACCCAGGCAGTCCACTAAGGCCTTCATAAAACTCCAACTTAAGAGCAGAGTTCAGTTTTTAGAAGAAAACTACCCTGAGCAGAGGGAAATATTTAAATCTGGCCAGGAAGGACTTCTTCCCTCCATTAACTGGGAGATCTTTCAAGTCCCACCTGCTGCTTGAACTGCAAGAGTCGGTTGAGTGTTCTTAGACTTGGATGCCTAGCTTCTGTGTGAACACCTAGCAGAAAAGCTGAGCATGTTATTCTCTACTTCCCCCTTCCCTCTGACTCTCCCATTGCCAAGGTGGCTGGCAAGAGCTTCACAACCTAACTTTGACTTCTTGGTATGTATTACCCTGAGATATAACTTTTTTTTTTTTTTTTTTGAGACGGAGTCTTGCTCTGTCACCCAGGCTGGAGTGCAATGGCGTGATCTTGGCTCACTCCAAGCTCCGCTTCCTGGGTTCATGCCATTCTCCTGCCTCAGCCTCCCGAGTAGCTGGGACTACAGGTGCCCACCAGCACGCCCGGCTAATTTTCTGTATTTTTAGTAGACACAGGGTTTCATCGTGTTAGCCAGGATGGTCTCAATCTCCTGACCTCATGATCCACCCGCCTCGGCCTCCCAAAGTGCTGGGATTACAGGCGTGAGCCACGGCGCCCGGCCCGAGATACAACTTTTATTGCAGTCTTGCCTTTCTTTTAACCAAGTGCTAGAATTCCAAAAAACTCACTTGAAAAGGATGGCTTCCCTTAAGTGGGCAATATTTATAATTATAATCACTAGGGGTTTGAAATTTATTCTAACAATAGGGTTTCTGAACCAATACACAGATAATGGAACACATTAATAACTAGGAAGAGAGGCAGTAATTCATGCCTGCCATTCTGTACCCACATGCTAAATGAAAGCCTGCCAGAGAGCACCATCCAACCTTCTGCCTATCTTTGCACCTATTGTTATACCTGTTCACTGAGCTCTGGGTTGCAAGGTGAGATGACGAATATGTTCAAACCTTAAGTCATTAACTAATCCCAACCTCCTCCTGCTGCATTTTATTGGTAAAGGGTGATCATCCATCCAGCTGCTCCAGTCACATCCCTTTCTCTCACTGCCATTATTCAACTGGTCAACCAAGTCCTACTAATTTATCATTTGTTTATCTGTCCCCTACTCTTCCTCGCTATTTCCACTGGCTTAGTTCATGACCTCTCCATCTCCTCCCCAGATACTGTACTGAAATACCTGCTAACTAGTCTCCTTGCCTGTAGGATAGTCCCTCATGAATTTCTCCTCTGTTCTGCCTCCCAAGTTAGCTTCCTAAATATGTGCCTTGGAAACAATGAAATCATACTCACAATTTGAAGAAAACATTGGTGAATATTATTATAACCTGGGAGGGTAACAAGTATTTCTAAGCATGACAGAAAACCTAGAAGGCATAAATATAGTCACTTAAAAACATCTTCTATAAAATAAAGAATAAAGATTAAAAACAACTGGAGAAAATATCTGTGACATATATATGTGGGGGACATGCTAATTTACTTAATAAAAGAATTTTTACAACTCACTAAGAAAACAACCTAACTATAAATTTGAAATAACATCTTGAGTCCATTCCTTGGCCACACTAGGAGAGGAGAAACTAATGTAAATAATTATAAAGCTGTGAAGGCACAAAGTGTCCTGCAAAGATTAGGTGTAAGAAAAATGGTTAGGTATCACCATTACCAAACCTGCTTCAAATGCTCTGCCTGGATTCAATTACACTACATATCGACACTGCGATCCTTTAAGCAGTTGAAAAATGCCTCTGGTCTCTTGTTTTTGCCTTCAGAACACAATGGAGCATATTTGTACAGAACAAGTAATTCCCTGTCGAGCTGGAAGGGCCTCTTTGCTTGATAATTGATGTTTCAGCTTTGAGCCAGAAGGTTAAAGTCTTTCTGAAGAACATTTCTGAGTTCACGCAGCACTAAACCCTATTACTCCATTATTCCATACCAGCCTTGGCTGGGAGGCCAGAACAATGCCCATGAGGTGAAACTGACTGGCTTTTCCATTTTGACCTGAACTAAGTGATCAAATTATGTCCCCTGACAAGAAGGCAAAGTATCCACAGAGTGCACAACACTGGCATTGCTGACATACCCGCCAAAGACACTAACTATACCTAGGCATGCGGTCATCCAGAAGAAACGTGTCACGATCCTAAACGCAAGTAGTAAAGACAATTCACCTTTCAAATGAAACCGAGGTGAGATCTATTGCACCCACGGGAAGAGATATAAGATAAATGTTGTTACAAAACCAAGTAATTCAAAGTGCTGATATAGCCTTTTATGTGAATCTGGAACTTGGGCCAATGATCTGAGACCACAAAGGTATCCCAGGCAAAAGCCCTAGACAGTATTAGTGTCCATTTGCAAAACATTGAATTTAAAAAACAGAGCTAGTATTAATAGCCAGAATGCAATCACGAATCAATCTGGGGGACACACAGGAGGTTAAACCTAACCAAACAGTATTGGAAATTAGAAAATTTAACCAATTATTTTCCAGTCTTTAAAATGTAGGGCTGCATTGAGGAACCCACACGTCAGAAGACCACTATCATAAGACAGACGGCTAGTGTCTGAATACATTACTTTTTGTTGTTCTAAATTGTCTTAACTTTGTGAGCACTTACTCATAATCTCATTGAGAATTATGATATAGATATGAATTCAATTTTCAAAAAAAGACAGTTGGATTTTAAAATTTCTGGCTAGTGCAATGAATCTGTAGAAATTCAAACCTTGACCAATGGTTTCTCAAAATCCATTTGATTCTATCATTTGCCTCTGCTAAAATTAATAAAATATTCTCCCAATAAATCAAGGCTTACAAAGCAACTGTTCATTATTCCTGGCTGAAATGGGCTCAGTGACTTCTGGAAATGAGTGTCACGCATGGAGATAGATATATAATGCGATCACTCAGATGGCTTGCACACTGGCAAGGGGCAGCCAGTCTAGAACTCCACAACCTACACGAGGACAAAACCTCCCTAGAGAGAACCAAACCCCATCACTAGGCCGCCTTCCGTTTTCTGAAGAAAAAGGGTTGTAACTTATCTGAAGTAGTGAGTGCCAGGACATGCTGTGATGTTGCTATTGCTTGAAGGGTATTATAGAGAGACAGAGAGAAACTGTAGGTCAGAGGGACAGAATAAACATTACTAAAGCAACATAGAGTGACCTCAGCTTTGTCTTGGGTAGACCTAGGAGGGCCTCATCTGAGGCCAATAGGTTGTACGCTAAATTAACAAACAAAAAGCAAACAGCACAAAACCCACTTGAAACTAATACGATTCTTCCCTCAGGCCCCCGTTTTTAAACAAACAAACTTTGAGATAAATAAATAAGTGGAAACTCACTCTGGGAAGCATAATGCCCCTCTGCAGCTTTGTCTTCGTGCCCTTCGTATTCCCTGCTGGAGAGCTGCCTGTTGGCAGTCTCTAGTCGATCTATGAACAAAGAGGAAATGATTACAAAGAAATGTATATGGATTGAAGTCATCATTTAACCAAGAAATGAAATAGGTGCCAAGAGCTGGGGAGGAAGAGATGCTCAGGCAGGAGCTCAAAACTGAACAACTTGGGGACAGACAGTAACTATGTCCCAAAATATCAAAAGAAAAGGCTTCAGACGCCACACTGTGTCTTTATGTGATCTAAAGACAAATGACGTGTACCAGCAGCATGCAGCTAGGGACAGGTGCTGAGAAAAACCACCTCACTGCCTTCAAGGCCAGCAAACCCGATCTGAAGTGTTCACAAAGACAGTCTCCTTGGCCTCAAACCCAGCCCTAGTCTAATCCTGATCATCACCTATATATTTTAGCCAGTGACAGCTCTCTGTATCTTAGAATCAAAGAAATAAAAATAACAAATACCCAAAAAAAGTCAAAATGACCTAATGTACGAAGACTGTACACAGCAACTTCTATGTTTGCTCAAACCACTTGGTAAATCTTTCATTATTCAATAAATAATCCAACTCAACTAGTATTCACTGGATGCAGATGACACCCAACCCAAAAGAGTCTGTAGCAAGAGAAAAGGTGGGATCTAGCTACTGGGTACTACCAGGACATGGAGCGTTTTGACATATGAAGCAACTGAAAATGGCTTGGCTGAAGGTAAAGTAACATTTATAGGTTAACTCATTGTGCACATTGGAGATGACCAAAATCCAACAGCAGGTGACTCCTATCTTTCAGGGAGTTTATTGTCTACTTATTTCACAACTGTGGGGATTTTTTCCCCCAGAGGGAAAATATGGCTAGCTCTGTCTTCTATGGTCCACCTAGCAATAGTTAAGTGCTGCTTTTCAAAGCACGCTACCAAATGACAGCCCCATGTGGAAAGGGTTGTGCGTCTAACATTGATCTTTTCAAACATTCAGATTCTCACCGCCATGAATCGCGGTTGAGTACTTTTAAAGCAAGAAGGAGCCACAAACAGAATCCCTTCCTTTGACAGACTCATGCATACAGGCTGTCACTTCCAAAGCTCGATGCTGCAATATACAACCCACAAGGCAGAAGAGAACAATTCTGCTTTTTCAGCACCTCCTCCCTTCCCCAGATGGTTGAAATATACAACAGGCAGACTAGCACCTGTGGCAAAGCATTCTGGCCCCAAAGTTGTGCTTTTAGCTACACAGGTGGTTTAGGTAGAGAGAACATGAATAAACATGCCTCGGAGGTCTCTGTTGAAATCATGAAGTCTTCTAATCTCGCCTTCCAATTTGTTTCTCATCGCTTTGTCCAGTGACTCTCGCTTGGTGGTAGACTTGACCAGACTTTCATAGGCTTCCGAAATTCTCTGAAGTTCTTTTTCAAACTAAAAGAAAGAACTGGCATTAAAGTGGTACCTTTGACATTCATGCTGGTGTCCTGGTAAAACGGATTCTTAGACATTGCAGTGTGAAGGCTGTATCTTCAATGCAGTCTTTCTGCATCTGAAGTTTCATGTGTACCAAATTGTATAATCGATTTCACTCCCCCACCTGCTCTCCAAAGACTACATTAGGATCCTGTAAATTACAGGCTCACAAGTCTGGCCGAACTGTCTGATGTCACCTTGTAAAAGTCCCTCTGTACCAATATTAGAAAGGGGTAAATCTAAACATAACTTAAATCTCTTACACTTTTAATGGCAATTTATAGCTATTATGATTATTCCCAGTTAACATCAGGAAAATATTAAAGTACAAAAAAACTAAAGGACTATAATTAGAACCCAAGTTTCCAGACTCCAAGTAGAGTGCACTTTCCAGAGACACTCCTATCTGTCCCCAAAGGAACGTAAAATCCACTGGAGGAAAGGCTTCATTACCTAGTATTTTTATTCCTTTGTCTATGAAATTATCTATATGGCAGACTGCTCACGCCTGTAATCCCAGCACTTTGGGAGGCCGAGGTGGGTGGATCACCTGAGGTCAGGAGTTTGAGAACAGTCTGGCCAACATGGTGAAACCCCGCCTCTACTAAAAATACAAATATTAGCCAGGCATGGTGGTGGGTACCTGTAACCCCAGCTACTTGGGAGGCTGAGGTGGGAGGATCGCTTGAGCCTGGGAGGCGAAGGTTGCAGTGAGCAAGATCATGTTACTGCTCTACAGCCTGGGCAACAGAGTGAGATTCCATCTCACAAAAAGAAAAAAAGAAAAAAAAAGGATTAATGGACATGTACCTAATCATAAACAAATATATCACAGAATCACAGAAAACCTCTTTATATTCAGTAATTGATAGCCAAGAAATTAAAACCATTTAAAAAAATATTTCACTAAATCAAAAACTAACTGGGGAAGCCTTTAATCTATGGCACATATAAATTGATAACAAGTAGCTCTATTCTAACAGGAGTTTGATATAATAGTCTGGTTTTTATGTAGATATCAATAAATCCCATTGTATTGTTATGTAACATAAATGCAAGAGAAAGGGTAAAGACCAGGTGAGGGTGCCTGCAAACATGGACGGATGCTTGATGAGATGCTGCTAAGGTCAGAATCAAAGGCAAAACTGATGGGGTTGAAAGCACTAGCGCCCTTCACTGGGTCCCAGATCAGAGCCATGTTTTCAGTGCTTCCACAGGATAGCAATGGCACCAGGAGCCAGGGACCCACTTTTCTGAGCCCCAACTGCCCGGATCAGAAAGTCCCTGCCAAGACTCCTATAAATAATATATATCCAAACAGATATTCATTGTTTGCTTACATGTCAGGTGTTTTTCCAGATGCTAAGGATACAGAAATAAGGAAGGCAATTCCTGGTCTTTAGGAGCTAAGAGTCTTAAGTTGGCCTGTAAATATTTCAGAGAAATGGTAGTCCAGGGATGAGGGCAAGGTAGAAGTGGCAGGAGGTAGGGCCAAAAGGAAGGACTTTAAATTATGGGCAGGGGAGGCTTAGTGGGGGTGAGAGGTACTGGAGAAGGAAGATTCTAACTCTGATCTCATCCAAGTTCTCATAGAGACAAAACTAACAGATGGGGTTGGAGGGTGGGGGTTTGTGGGAGAGGAGGTAGAAGAGATATCCAGGTAAAAAGCTTATGTAAATAGCTCAATGACAGATGACAAGGGCCTGAACTATGACACTAAAAGCGCAAATTCCAAAGACACTAATGAGTAGAATCAGCAGGTTTTGGTGACTGGGTGCAGACAGTAAGGAAGAAAGCAAGCAAGTACAACATAAACATTCACAGCTTAGAAGATGGGGTAAGGAGACTTAACCAAGATAAATGATTATAAGAGAACCAAGCTCACTAAAGAAAGAAAACCAGTCTGGGTTTGGAGATACCATGTTTGAGGAACCTGATGCACATATTGGCGAAGATTTCCAGTTAGGAGGTGAACATACAAGCCTAAAAGCCAGGAGAGTGGCTGCGGTGTCCTCAATGTACAGATGACAGATGACATCAGAAAGCAGAGACCACTCAGGGAGATAAACAGAAGATTAGAGGGCCAAAAAAGCATTCACGCCAAAGGAGGGGAGGGGCACCAGGGAAAAAGACTGAAGCTAGTGGACCCGTAGGAGCCTAGAAGCCAAAAACTTAAAAAAATGAGAGATACTGTGGTCAGCACCCTCAGAGGTTACAGAGCAGCCAGGATATGGCTGAGAAGAGGCTGATGAATAGGCTGGAGGGCACCAGGGCTTCTGCTTAGCAGCAGCTAACTAGAGCTGAGCTGAGAAAACCAAGGATCCTTTCGGTACCACCTTATGTTCCCAAAGGCCTCCTTATATCAGAGTTGGTTCTTCCCTGGTCCCCTCATTTCCACAAGGCCTTTCTGATTCGTCCACAGATATCATGAACCGCTGGTAATGCAGCAGCACAGAGGACAGTATGTCCTAAATCCTGTTCATAGCCTTACCATGAATTATGATCCTGTCTTCAAATTTTATTTACCAAAGAGATGGCTCCCAGACACACTCACACTTCTTTGCTGATTTTATCTATAAAAGGTGGCCTTTGCTTTCAGACAGCCGGGCATGTCACAGGAACAGTCCCCATCAAGACCAAAGGGTATCTTCAAGTCACCAGGGAAGCTGAGAGTACCACACACTCTTGAGGCATCCACCATGAGTGGTGTTCGGGCTTCCAGCCCAGAACAACTAGCGATGCTTCCTTAACTACACCCACAGGGACCCTTCCCTTGGTCTGATTTTATAGTATTTTTGACCTGTTGTATTTCCCTCATTGGAATTCTAATCTGCATCTATACTTTGCGGCTCTGATTCGACTGCTAACTCCTTGAGGGTAGAATAGCTCTTACTGTCCTAGAACTATGCCTTGCCCATAACAAAATACTGACTAATTAATCTTTAAATGTGTAACTTCTACAGACAGACTTGGACGCTGAATCATGCATTCTTTCCTTTTACTCAAAGAACTTCCCTCTGCATACTGTCAAAGGAAACTTCAAGATCCCTACCACGATATAGTTTACTATCTCAAATCCTAAAACAATCAAGACCTGACATATGGTTATGTGCTTAGAAGGGATCTACAGAAAAAAAACAAGGGTCTTAGTTCAGAACAAGGTAACTCCTATGAGAACTGATAGCTGTAATGGTAGAGAAAGACTAATCTCCTTCAGTGCATGCTATGGATATGGTTTGTCCCCACCAAAACTCATGTTGAAATTTGACCCCCCGTGTGGTGACACTGGGAGGTGGGACCTAGTGGGAAGTGTCTGGGTCATGGGTGTGGGTCCCTCATGAATGGCTTGGTGCCTTTCTCGCAGCAGTGAGATTAGATTGGATTTTGCAGGAATAGATTAGTTCCCACGACAGCAGGTTGTTATGAGGAAGGACGCGCTCTTCAAGTTTTGCCTCTTTATACATGTCTGCTTCCCCTTTGACCTTCTGCCATGTTGTGACACAGCATAAAAGCCCTTGCTGGAAGCCAAGAAGATACCAGCATCATGCTTTTCAAACTTCCCAGCCTGCAGAATCATGAGCTAAATAAATCACTCCTCTTTATAAATTACCCAGTCTCAGATACTCAGTTATAACAACACAAAAGGGAATAAAAAAGTATGGTTGCAGAGGACAGAGTTATGAGTAAATATAGGAAGTTAAATATATGCAGGGTTTTTTGGTTTTTGTTTTTTTGACAGTCTCACTCCATCACCTAGGCTGGAGTGCAGTGACACAATCTCGGCTCACTGCAAACTCCACCTCCTGGGTTCAAGTGATTCTCATGCCTCAGCCTCCAGGGCAGCTGGAATTACAGGGGGGCATCACCATGGCTGGCTAATTTTTGTATTTTCTTTTTTTTTTTTTTTTAGTAGAGATGGGGTTTCACCATGTTAGCCAGGCTGGTCTCGAATTCCTGATCTCAAATGATCCACCTGCCTTGGACTCCCACAGTGCTGGGATTACAGGCGTGAGCCACCGCACCCGGCTGAGATGCAGATTTTGACTCAACATAAAGAAGTATTTCCTAACTACATTTTCCAGAAGTGTAGTATACCCATTAGTGAGCTTCTGTTCTCTGGAAGCATTCAAGTAAAAGATGAACACCTCCTTTTAGAGAATGACACAAGGATTACTAAGGAATGGGAAGTTGAAGTAGACTCATTTCAAGAATTTTAAGACTGAAGCTTTTTATTTCTGACTGTACACTCCTTCAGAGTAAAACCACACCTTCTTCTATTTCTCCATGTTTAGAACATCTTAAGCACCCTCTGATATTTGTTAAAGATATAGGAGGGTTAGATAGGCTGGTTTGACACAAAAACTATCCAGACCAGCTCAGACTCTGAGTACAGTGCAGGAGGGGAATCCTGGTTTACCTTCCCAGCTCTCATTCTCCTTTTTGGTCTAGGTGTCAGGGAGCTCTTAGGCCAGGCCGTAAGAATCCCTGCAATCACAGAAATACGCTCGGTGTCCCAGAGACAGAGCTACAAGCAGAGCAGAAAATAAGCAAATGGACAGAGAAGGCCCTGAGAAAATCTCAGCCATTCCAAGCTCCAGATACTGGTTTTTTCCCTGAGCACCTTCACGTGCAACACTGAGGGATGCGCAGGACCGAAGAAAGGCATGCTGTGCAAGCCACGGACTGACCAATCAAAGCCACCTTTGTTTCACTCACAAAAGAGGGTCTTCACTAAAGCAAGCCTGGGGTAACTTAACGCTTGGCCCTCTCCCATCAAATGCCCATCTATTCCCTGATGGCTTTCGAGGCCAACCCACTCAACAGCCCACAATCTGGCCCTGGTAGAGACTCCATCGTTAATTAAGTTTCAGAGAAACTGGGAGGCAAAAAATGCAAAACATAACCAAAAGGAAAGACTGAAAACAATAGCTCTTTCTGGGGGTCCTTGACCATCATTCCAACATTAACAGTGATAATCACTACCTTGTGCCTCTTTGGAAATAGGGTCTTCATATCTAGGCTGGGATTTGACAGTCTCTGAATTTAATCACTCTCTTCTGCTGTGTTCCTGGCACAGTATGCATAGGCTAAACTCTGCAATTAAAAATTCATCTATTTTTAGTTCTGCCCTTACAATGCATCTCTGCAAGGGCCAAAACATTCTCAATGCTGCGAGGAACTCAGATGGGATCAAACTGTGGGCATAGCGGGGTCATATCCTACAACATCGTGCAGCAGGCCTACCCAAAACAGGGGTCACATCCATGCCAGGAGAACTGGCAGCTATCATCCCTGAGAAGCAAAGCTGTCATCTCATCTGACCACCCCCTCTCCAGACCTAAGGCTCAGGCAGCTGCTAAGAACGCTGAGTGACAAAGCTGGGGATGAGGGAGGATCTGGGACTAGGGTGACCTTAGGAACGCAAGGCCTAATACGCCACGAAGTTCATGCAACTCTTGTGTCTCTTGATCCTTGTTGTAAAGAACAGCAGTCCAACTTGTGATAAACATGGCAAGTATCCATCAAAATCTGAGGTTTTGAATCGATAATTCCGGTTTTACATATGACAGATTAATGTAGTACAGTAAGTCCTCATGTAACATCATTGACAGGTTCTTGGAAACTGCAACTTCAAGTAAAATGACACATAGCAGGCCCCCAAATAACATCAGTGTTTTCAACTTCATTTCATTGTGATGTTGATGAGGAAAAAATTGGCTTTGCTTAAAACTGTAGTTTCCAAGAACCTATTGATGTTATTAAGTGAGGACTTACTGTACTTGTAGAACAACTTATAACATTCAAGGGACTGAAAAAGTTTTGGGTTCACGAAGGGACACAGCTTTTGATTTGTCTCCTCTTCCAGAAGTCATCAAAGTCCTTTTGGCCACAACTTTTAAGAACCATCCTTGGTGCAGGAATATTGAGACAGTGGGAGATTAAATCATTTTAGTTTTCAAAATGGAAATGTGCATCAAAATCAAGAAAGAGATGTACGTTATAGGCCAATAAAATGTACATGTTTAATACCAGCACTTTGGGAGGCTGAGGTGGGCGGATCACGAGGTCAGGAGATCAAGACCATCCTGGCCAACATGGTGAAACCCCATCTCTACTAAAATACAAAAAAAAAAAAAAAATTAGCCAGGCATGGTGGTGCACGCCTGTAGTCCCAGCTACTTGGGAGGCTGAGGCAGAAGAATCGTTTGAACCTGGGAGGCAGAGATTGCAGTGAGCCGAGATCACGCCACTGCACTCCAGCCTGGCAACAGAGTGAGACTCCATCCCAAAAAAAAAAAAAAAAAAAAAAAAAGTACATGTTAATAAAAAGGCAATGAAAAAAAACAAGACCTCCAATTTCTGCACCATTTGTGTAACTCTTCAGAAACAGCCATGGGAAAAACCCCAGCACCAAACTCAGCCTTCAAGTGGGTCTGTATAGCTTCTGGACATGTCTGCCTTGGAGCTTTATTAGGAGAGAATAAAGAGATGTTTGTTTCCCAAGAAGTGCTGAGTCTGCACTTTCCAATTTTCAGATCATACTAAAAGGAAGATGCCCAAAAATGTCAGAGGCAAGCTTGGGCCTGTACAGTGTCTTATAGGCTTAAGGCTGAGACAACACACCTATTTCCCAACTTCTAAGGGTGCAAGAGGGGGTGGGAGTGAGGCCACAATCTTTAGGTGGCCCCTGTTTGTTTCTGCCTCTCATTTTTCCCCTCCAATAAAGGCAGCCAAAGCTCCCTCAGCCAAGTCTGGTCTTGACTCCAGGGAGCTCCAGACCTTTTCAGTGGAAGCTCTGCGCAAACGTGCTGGGACAAATTGTCTGTAAACATATGCACCATCAAATCCACTGCTCCCTGACAGCCCTCAGGAAGCAAGCAGAGCCTACTACTCTCAAACTCTTGACCAGCAAAATGACCAGCTTGACCTGTGAAATCAGCACTAACTCATGAACACTAAATGGGCCAGCTGGAGCATTAACTGTCACATAGAGCCAAAGTGACAATGTTCTTGTAGTCGGGTGGGGTTTATACTCCTATACTTTAACTTTACAGAAGCTCTTTATTGCCAAGGGAAGAGCCCGTACTTACTCTTAGAGGATCACTACTACTACACATGCCTCCTCACCCCCAGAAAAGAAATTCAAGTGCTCTATGGCTGTCCTGCCCTAAAACATCCTATTACCTTTACCCAACCCCCTTGCATCCTACCTGCAGCACATCAGATGCTGACTTGAGGGTCATCATGAAATCACTGCCCAGCAACAGCTTGTTCTTGCTGGACGTTCCCCTATTTACTTTGGCTCTCAGCATAAATCTCTAAGAATAATGGCTACCATACATTTAAATATTCCAACAGTAACTACACAGGCTGGAATTCCTCAGCATCTCCCCACCTGGTAAGTCACAAACATGCAGAAAGCACACAATAACTTGTACTCTTGACCCTCTCATGTTGAGGCAAGACTGCTTTTTGCAAAGACCAGCTAATGAAATGAACATGACAACACAAGGTTCCTGTCTGAGATTCCTAAATGTAAAGGAAAATTTGGTATCTCTCACTTCATTTCTCTGTGGTTTTACTTATTTTTTATTTTTGAGACAGGGTCTCACTCTGTCACCCAGGCTGGAGTGCAGTGGAGCAATCTCAACTCACTGCAACCTATGCCGCCCCAGCTCACGTGATCTCCCGAGTAGCTGAGATTACAAGGCATGGGCCACCATGACTGGCTAATTTTTGTAGAGACCGGGTCTTGGCATGTTGCCCAGGCTGGTCTCAAACTCCTGGGCTCAAGCGATCCACCTGCCTCAGCCTCACAAAGTGCTGGGATTACAGGCATGGACCACCGCGCCCGGCCTCCTCCGTGTTATTTACTCTCCGTGTTCCCTCTTCTACATTTGTCCAGGTGGGGTAATCCTACTTAGCCTCAGAGTCTCTGGTCAAGAGCCACCTCTGCTGTTCCTACAGTAGACCCTTCACACTCTTACTGAGGGTGTTAGCATATGCAACTCTCTCCCCTTTTTGGAATGTAAGCTCCTCCAAGGTCGGAACTGGGTCATATTTATTTTCATCTCCCTAAAACCTTGCAAAGGGTCTAGTATAAAAAGGGATCCAGTGCAATGTTGGCAAGTCAGTCAGTGCATCAACTCCCCATGACCAGGTAAAGAATTTTGTCTCCCTCCCATTCCCCAGGGAAGTCACGTACCTTGTGGAGCTTGTCGGCATTGTCATAGTAACCCTGAAGTTCCTGGTGAAGCACCCGGTTCTCCTCTGTTAATATTTCCACCATTTGCTGGGCTCGCTCCACAATCGCAAAGGCATCTGGACCGAGCTGCTGGCTGGGGGAGGCAGCGGGCGGGGGCTGTGGAGCGCCCAGGGCCATCGGGAGTGGAAGCGGCAGGGAGACAGAGTGCAGCGGCCCGCTGGCGGAGGAGGTCTGGGAGGACATGGGGCTGTGCTGCTGCATGGTTGACGGGAACGGAAGTTGGCACGGGCGGCTGCAAGGCAATGGAAGGGAGCAGTTAGAGCCCGGGGAAATGGTGGGAGCAGGAAGGAAGCCCCAACAATACTGGCACTGTTGATGGTTTCCACGGTCAGAAGCCATCAGTGCACTTCCCAGTGGGAGGTATTCACTGTGCTCCCATCTCAATCAGCACCATTCCGGCTATTGGGGAAACAGCAACCAAGACAGACCAGGTCCCTGCTCTCAGACGTTTACATGCTAGGGAGAGAGACAGGCAAGCCACCCAACAAGAAAGCCAAGTATCAAAACTTAACAATTACTCTCCAAAGATAAGGTGGAGTGATGTGGCAGGGAATGACCCCATGGCTACTTCCTACTGAGAGGGCAGAGAAGGAGTCTCTGAGAGGGGTGGTTTGAGATGAAGTCACACTGACAGACAAGAACCAGTGGGTTGGACGGAGCGGGTAAAGAAGTGGGGAAAAGGAGTATTCTAGGTAGGAGATGTCAGCTAGCACAGTGGTCCCCAGCCACTGGGCCATGGACCAGTACCCATCTGTGGCCTATTAGGGACTGGGCCACATAGCAGGAGGTGAGAAGCAGGTGAGTGAGCAAAGTTTCATCTGTATTTACAGCCGCTCCCCATGGTTCACATTACTGCCTAAGCTCTACCTTCTGTCAGATCAGCAGTGGCATTAGATTCTCATAGGAGCGTGAACCCTATTGTGAATTGTGCATGCAGGAGATCTAGGTTGTTTTTTCCTTATAATAATCTAATGCCTGATAGCCTGTCACTGTTTCCCATCAACCCAGATGGGATGATCTAGTTGCAAGAAAACAAGCTCAGGGCTCCTACTGATTCTACATTATGGTGAGTTGCATAATTATTTCATTATATATGACAATGTAATAATAATAGAAACAAAGTGCACAATAAATGTGATGTGTCTGAATCATCCTAAAACTACTCCAACCTCACGATTGTCTGCGGAAAAACTGTCTTCCACAAAACAGGTCCCTGGTGCCAAAAAGGTTGGAAATGCTGAGCTAGCGCACAGGGCCTGAGGCAGGAATTAGCACTGGCACAAGCAAGAAGTATGAAGCACTGCCAGCAAGTAGCAGTGCAAGATAAGACTAGAGTGATGGGCAGGTGCCATGGCCAGACTTTACCTTGGAGCGTACAGAGGCCAGGGGAGGCGCTGCCTCTCCTGTGGTGTGCACAGAATGCAGTGCATGGTGGCAGGAACACACGTATGGAGTCCAATGAGGCCCAGGTGTGGTCTAGGTGAGAACTGAGGAGAGCTCAGAGTAGTGGCAGAAGAGAAACACTCAGAGATTGGGATTTGTTTTGTATATATCATGGATGGGGAGAAGGGAAGTTGGGAAAATTAAAAATTACTACTGGATTTGGGGCGCTACACAAATTGATAGGGGCACCATTTAATGAAATGAGAAGTCTTGGGGAGAAACTGATTTGTTCTGCTGAGGTGAGGAAGGTCTAGAGCTCAAGAGTCTAATTTTAGCCATGTTAAAAAGAACACATAAGGGTGTCTCTTCATGGCTCAAATACCTGGTATTAGTTCCTATCTTTGAGATCATGAATTTCCATCCCCGTCCCCATTCCTAACAATTCCATCCTAACTATTCAGTTAACCTGCTTCCTAAGAATCACTGTATTTTCTTTCAACCTAAGCCAAGGGCTCCTAACAACATTTAGAAGTATAAAGGGTATGAACCAAAAAGTATCTGAGACAGATCTCAATCAATTTAGAAAGATTATTTTGCAAGGTTAAGAATGTGCCCATGACACAGCCTCAGGAAATTATGACCACATCTGCCCAAGGTGGCCTGGGTACAGCTTGGTTTCAAACACGTTAGGGAGACAGGAGAGACACGAGACGTCAATCAGTATGTGTAAGATGAACATTGGTTTGGTCTGGAAAGGCTGGACAACTCCAAGTAGGGGAAGGGGCTTCTAGGTCATAGGTAGATAAAGAGACAACTGGTTGCATTATTTTGAGTCTCTGATTAGCTTTTCACTGAATACGCAATTTACATGTGAGAAGAGGATAAAAGAAAAGTCATTTACACCTTAGTCTGGCTTAGTGAAACAACAGGGCAGAGGAACTAATAACATATGCATTTGTCTCAGGTGAGCAGAGGGATGGCTTTGAGTTGTGTCTGTCCTATGTCCACAAGGAATTTCCTTGTGGGCAAATTGTGAGGCAGGTATGTGGCTTTTTTAATCTTTGTAGCTATCTTATTTAAAAATAAAATGTGAGGCAGGTTTGCCTGATGCAGTTCCCAGCTTGACTTTCCCCTTTGGCTTTGTGATTTTGGGGTTCTGAGATTTATTTTGCTTTCACATCTTTCAGAAAAAGCATTTTATAAGAACATGAATGAGCCTCTGGTCTCAGGTTTTATCTGCTCTCTCATGGCTAGGACAGTTTACTCCTAGAAAGGTAGGTGCCAGGTTATTAGGAAAGATCATTTTTAGTAGGTTGTAAAATCTCATATCCTATGAAGAGAAAACAGGATGAGGAAGAGAAAAAAACAAACAAAAAAGATGAAGAAGAATCCTGGAAAATTGATATAGGCCATGTTACTCTGAAGTCCATACATCAATAGGCAGGTATGAAAGTGGTTTATGTATGTAAATAACTTGCTGTTATTTTCTTCTGAAGCTTACATTGTCTAGCTTCAGTTTGCAAGGCTTTAAGAAAGCACAGCTTCATATTCAGGGATTTTAAATCAAGAAAAAAATGGAGGGAAAATAGGACAGGAAAGAAAGAAAGAAAAAAAAACAATTAAAAACATTACTTTGGAGACGTGTAGCCAGGAAAAATTTTAGAATTCAGTCCAAACTATAGAAAATAATAAAAATGGAAAAACATTAGATAAGACTAGAATCTAATAACAAGTGTAGTCCAGTTTATTTTGAAACATAATTTTTCTCTCTCCAGTCCTCATTTTCATTAAAGATAAATCACAAGACAAATTTATGTGTAAAATAAGTGTTGGTCTTACTATACTTGGCCTGAGTATTTGCATAAAGTCAGCAAAAAAAAAAAAATTGCCATATAGGCTCTTTTCTTTTTAATTGGCTTTACTGGAACTTTATTTCACAAGGAATCTCAGATTAGACTTACATGCTTTGAGCCCAGCCTGTGCCTGCAAATACCTGTATTGGGTGAATTCCTCACCTCAAGGGCCCAAGAAAACAGGGCTCCTGGGTCTGTCAGAAAGTGACATTCTTTACCTACTGCAGGTCAGGAACCTATACAGGGACTGTGTAGACAAAGTATAAGTCCAGCTTTCCCAAAGGGTTTTATTTGGCTCTACAAGTCAACCTCCATTCCTTAAAGCAATCTGGTTATATCTAAAAGCATGCCATTCCAATGAAAGCCCTGGTAAAATAACCAATGTCTCCAATTGTGTCCTATTACAAAGAAAAAGATTCTTATTGAACTTACGCAACTAACTATACTGCTATAAATTAAATACACTTGCAAATAGTTTTCAAATTCTGGAGAAATCAGGTAGAGAGATATATGCTTCAGATTTTGCTCACAGGAGTGTAGCTGACCCAATTATTAAAAGCTATAAATAGCTCAAAGAAAAAGGGTTTTCTGGATGCAGAAACAAAAGAATTAGCAACATTTCAAACAAAATCATAAAAAAATTATTTCAGTCTTTCATTAGTCTATGTAATTAACTCATGTTCTGCTTGATGTTTATGAACACATTAGCTTTCTATGGAAGTCTTGCAAGTTTTTCCTCTATTCTAGTGTCACAGTCTCCAAAGTCATCAGAAACCTGCATTCAAGAACAACTGTCAGAGTCCTATAGCTGACTATAAAAAACACCTTTTGAAAAGAATAAAAGTGAAACAACTAGATGAGGAAAGTCATGGTTAAAGACACAAATGACAAGGAAACTGGATTATTTCTGTGGCATACAATTTTAGATCAGAATCACCATTACTACTAATAACATTTACTAACACATATTAGAATCACAGGAATCTCATACAATTCTGGAACACATACTAATAACACATTTATATAAATATAATCCAAAGAAGGTTAAACCCCATTTCATCTTTGACACTACTTCCTGTATGATTTTATTACATCAAATAAGCTGAATATGTCTCTTTTGGACTTCAAGGGATCTAATATCAAAAGATTAATGAGGACTAAGGTTAAAATTTGATTTTGGAAGTCTGTCAAATATAAAAAGTTTAGAACACTTCATATCACAAAATAGGATCACAAGTTGTTGTAAAATAAGCCAATCATTTAGCCAAAGTGATAACTCAATGATTTAAAAAAAAAAAAAAGCAAAAACCTTTACTGAGAGAGATTTAACTTCCCAAACAACAAGCCCTAATAAAGACAGCATGAGGCCAATTAAATGTATCTTTTAAAATTCTGTAAGTAAATTTATTAAATTTTAATTATCTTGACCATAAGATATAATTTCCATAAACCTTTTTATAACTTTTATAACCTTTTATTAAGGAGTGAGTTAATGCTCCAAAAAAATCATGTTCATCTGACACAGGGGCTCATAGGCTGGTCTTGCATCAGTGTCATTTGGTATTAATGGTTAATTTATAGAGAAACTGAACTAATTTTCTCTCTCAACATTGGCCCTTACAATCTCATGCCCACCTCTTCCACAATAGTCTATGGGTCTTGAGGAGTTGGATAGTTTTAATTTCTGGCCCTGTGTCTTACAAACACAGTTTATTTTGGTTGGCATCTTCTACCGGATCTGAAGATGAGGTTTTAACTGCTGTCAGGGTTTAAGACTGAAGAGGACTTGGTGTCCTGTTTAGACCCAGAAGTCAAAGCTCTGTAACTTAATGACACAAGGACTTTAAAAGCAAAATACAGAGAGTTATATGAATGTGATAACTTTAACTTGAACAAATTTTTAATCTCAGTTTTTTCTAAGCAAACCAAAACTTAATAACAATGGTATAGGAATTATTTCAATAAAACATAAAATGTGTTTGTTAGGCCAGTTACA